TTTGCAAGTGGCGAGGATAAAATGGTCTTTTTGTCAATTGCTTGTGGTAATTGAACAAGCAATTGAGAAAAGTTTAGAAAACAATGGCAGATTTTAAAAGAAATTGGAAAAATGACACATTTTGTAATATTCACAAACTTTTTTCATCTTACGGTATATTTGAAAATATCTCCTAAAGTTTAACCAGTATTGCACATTGAGTCACAATTTCAAAACGATCGTTCTCAATCCGGGTCTCTTTCATATTTGTCATTCATCACCAATTTGTTACAAGTTTCTACTTATGTAATGTCACAAATCGGTCATAGCTACCGAATAAACTAGAGTCACATAATCGTCACAATCCTTCATTATTTGTGACTATTAATTTCTTACTAAACACGTTAGAGATTGTGACAAAACTTGAAAAGATTAAAGAACCTATGATAAATTAGTCATATGCTGTTACCAAAACATTTGGATCAATTTGGTAACCATTTAGGTATATAATAAAACAAGTCGGATATTGAACTTAAAGCCCAAAAAAAGAAGACTTTAAGGCAACACAACACAATAATATTACAATTTAAAGTTAGTACAACATCCAAAAAAAAAAGTTAGTACAACATCCGTTTTTGTATTAATGTAATTCGAGATGGCAAAAGTACAATAATATTTAATAGACTTCATGGTGCAGAGTTTAATTCTCGATGACCATCGATTGCTACTTTTAAAAAAAAAATTTTAACGAGTTTTTAAATGAGTTTGTTAATGAGTACTTCTAGAGCCACTTTTATCGGCTCTGTAGTTGTAGGTAGTATAATATATTCTTCATGCATCTCTTCCAAAATAAGTACACGTGAGATTGACCTTATAACATACAAAAACAGGATCCTTAAGCTTTAGATCAAAATTAGATTGTCGAGGTTGTAATTGTTCAGTAGGCTCATCTTCGTTGGCCTTTCTTAGTGTTGGAGATGGTTTCATTGGGATCTTCTCAAGAGGATCATATGGTTTCGCTTGATTATCTTTACAGGTTAGAGCATCTTGTGGATTCGTCTCCATAGATTTAATGCGCCGGACATAAGCTTCCACCAGATATTTTCTTCTATCTTCTTTGTGAAATTTCAATGGAACATTTGAGAGGAAGAAGAGATAGATGGGCTTAGCTAGTTGGGTTTTGACAAAAAAAATTAATGTGATCTATGTCTCAAAAGCTTATAATATATAAACGTATTCTATAAAATATTTCATTGAATAATTTTTTTTACTTTTCACTTTTTAATACTATTTTTCCAAAAAAAAAAAACTTGTACCGATTAATTTGTTGTAGGTATGTTTGCATCACATTTTTATTGATGTAAAATTTACATATTTTAAATTAACAAATGTTTTTTTTTCTTGGGTAAGTGCATCAATTATTTAAGTGTTGCAAATTCATTTTATTAGTGACGTTTTTGCTAAGTGATACAAACGCTTAGTTGTTACCATTAATTCTAATGAAACGATACAAACTTTTGTTTATTACCATCGGTTCTAATGAAACGATACTAAGGAACGCCACTTATTAAAATTGATGTAAAATTGCATAACTAGTATCACTTATTTTTAAATGATTCCACTTTTACATTGGTAATTGTTCCGATACATTTTAACCGATGCTACACCTCTTTGTCGTAGTGTCATTCTCAACAACAAGGATATTTCTTGTGGAAGCCATCTTAGAGGTTGTTCCACTCGAGTCGCATGATCTCTTGCGCTCTTAAACTAGCTTGAATGGCAGCTAACATTTGCATCATGATTGCATTTGGTTATGTTTTTTCTCCAGCCATGTTTGTTTGATTTTAGTTATCTTTTTCTAGCACACATGATGAAGACATTATTAGAGTGTTAATGTGATTGTGATTCGATTTGTTCCGGTTAGCTGTAAATTGGTTATACGGTTGCTATATCCGTTGCTGTATATGGGAAGCAACATATTCGTTGTTCTTTGCATTGATCGATTCATTGGTGATTCTCTTGGATCTTCGTTTTCTTCATCGGTTTCTCCGTCAATTTGCTCTGATATCTTCTGTTCGTGAATATATTTATGTGATTAGCAATTTCGTTTGATCCGCCTCTTCATTACCATGGTGTGTTGATATTGATTGCGTTTAATCTACGATTGCTTCTGTGATGGACAACTTTTCATCGTTTCATGGTTTTGTTGAGCTTGTTGCTTCACCAGGAGAGATTATCGATGTCGATGAGTTTGAAGAAACATCTTTGTTGAGATTGCTGCTACAAATGGTGTTCCTCTATGGATCTCTTCCAAGGCTACCAGATTTACAATATCATGTGCTATGTCCATGTGTGTTCGCTCTCTAAGAATGTAGATTCGAGAATACAATATGTTGTTGATGGTGTTGTGTTTTGGAGATGTTTGGCAAGTAGATATGCTTCTAGACAGGGGAAAATCTTAAGTTTGCTATTGATATAAGCTGCTTAGACCTTTGTGAAGCTGATTGCTATGGCATTCTGCTCTTCGAATCTCTGGCTTGTGAAGTAGATGCCATGATATTGATAAACTTAGGCGGACTGCAGGTGCTTGCTTCTCTTGGTGATGGTTCATTTGATGACTTTTATGCCGTTTTAAATGCTGCATCGCTTCAACATTTAATCATCTGGTTTTGTTTGATCTATCTTGACAAACAACAAGTAGTTGCTATAGTTGATTTCTGGCCGGTATATAGCAAGATGATTGCTGGTTCCGAGGTTTCAACGGGTAGTTTTGTGACTTTGTTGTCTAATGTTGCTGAGAGTTTGATTTTGTTGAGTAATCCACACATTTGGAGTGATGTGGTGTGTCGTGATATGTCTTACTTTGTGCGTGTATAGCATGGATTTCAAGAGCTTACTAGCCTGCGAATGAAAGCTTCTCTTGGTGATGATGTTTTAATGGCTTTCATGCCACTATAATGGTTGTCTTGGCTCAACACTTAAGCCTCTGTATCAAGACAAGAGATTGTTGTTTCGAGGTGTTGTTGACCTTTGTTATTGAGAAATTTCTTCAGTTTCACTCTTGTGTTGCAGCATATATGAGGCGAATGAAACGAATTTCTTCATTAAGAGATAGATTAC